GATTTATAGCGGTAAAAATATGTTCCCTTGAGATGGTTTCGCTTTTCAGGTGTATTTAGATCTAGAGCAACCTTAGACCAGGAAAAAACAATGCGGGGAAACAGTTAAAAAATGCTTGTAGAATGTTGTAACTGTAGACTGCAATAACAAGAAAAATTCTTGTAATTGATTTAAGATTTATTGGCTTTGGTTTATGATTATTTTTGGGAAAGAATAGTTGGTTGGTGGACGTTACTACTTAGGACTGAATCCGAACCGAAAATGTTGAATTATTCTTACATATATGGTTGAGCATTATACAAATAATTATATTGTTTATATTTTATTGAGCAATCATGTTTTCAACCCATTATAATTTACTATGGTTTAAAACATAAATAAATAAAATTTATCCTAGATTGCTTTTAGCGATCACCATAATAAAATATTGCATTTTAATCTTCCACGTGGATTTCCGACACTTTTTTACTTTACAAGATATGTACGTACATATATGGATTTATTGCTCTGATTTTTCCGTAGTTTTGGTACCACTGTCAGAGGAAGCTCATCTCCATACCAGATATATATTATATACACTTGATCAGTCATTCGAACGGAAACGGAGGCGATTACGAATGCGGCTCACAACGCAGATGGCAGAAGAAAGAGAATTAAAAGGGAAAAGCAACCAAATGGAGTTAAAAACGAAATGAGAAATTATTAAACACTTTGCCGGCGATCGAATATCGTTATTATTCAAATCGCATCTTCGGAGGACCTTAGCAGGTAGACGTCGCTTCATAAATCGATTCGATTGATGTGTGTGTGTTCACAAGACATAAGATTCTCCCATCAAAATCGCGGCTTTAATGAAGAAGTGGAATTGAACGTATACAGTAGGAATTTAATAAGTTTCCCTTACAATTATTGCATGAGATTAATATATAAATTTATGAACACCCTGTTGATTCGAATATCTTAAACACTCCTGTTATTCAAAAAGCCATATGAATGTGTTTAATATTTATATTATTGTCATTTTGGACAGTTTTTCATATGTATGTATAATTAAATTTTTTTATTATTTTTTTAATGTAAAGCTAATAATAGCCTGCGTCTTTGAGGGTTTTTTACTGTATTTTTGGGGCGTGGACTCCACATATACACACACACACACGCAAAAACGGGGAGCGGGAAGTTCAAGTTCAAATTTATTTTTATTATTTCCTTCTGTTACTCTTATCTGTCTCTCTAGTCCCTCTCACTGTGCTCTCTTGCATGCGAGCTCAGCATGTACATATACACACAACTGCAGTTGGGAAAATGCAATGCCAAATATGGTTATACGCAACAGTCGAAGCTCTCTCTGGCACTCTCTCTTCGTTTTTATGCTGCCTAAGCCGCTCTCTGTTAACCCCCTACCTCTCATTTAACCTCCTCCTATTTTCCAGCAACGCATTGATATATAATGCAAAGTGATCGATTGCCTTAATTTTATGGCTCATTGAAAAAACAGGAAGAGGAAATGGGAAACGCGAGGTTAAATGTGACTTATCTCTATATGACTGAACAAAATTGGTAAAGGAAGATCGGCTTTAACCCTATACGGACTTACAACATAAATTTTAGGTTTGTTTTGTTATTTGGTGGCTTTCGAAAATGCATATGTATGTTCCTTCTTGTTAACTCTGAAAAATGTAAGCCAAAAACTCTACTTTCTTGAATTGAAGCCTCATAAATTACGTACATACATATTACGTATTCGTTTTTTGGCAATGTAAATTCGTTCACTTCTCGACTTAAATGAGGAGTTTCGATAAAACAGTGCAATCTTATTTTGGAGCTCACTTTTTTGTGACTAAAAAAGGGCATGATTTTGAAATTCGTTAGACCAAAAAAAGCATTATAAAGCGGGGAAAACTAACTCAGAGCGCAGAAGCTGTTCCATATAGTAATTGTGTCTATCTTTGCAATGCACATTGTATACGCATCGATGTACAATCTTAAAAATGTGCAAAATCCATCCCACAAATCTTAAGCTTAAAACAACCGCAATGTCAAAGTTCAAAAGGTTAAATCTGACATTTACAAATACATATGTGTGTTTTTGCATATCCTTATCATTATCATCAATTGCAGCTGTTTTCATTTCTCCCTCTCTTGTTCTGGAAAAAGGTGGATTTGGGGGTGTGGGCAGATAGGTGTGGTGTATAAGATTAACGGTGCAATAATAACGGTGGTGGTTTTCGAAGAATTCGCCGCATTTCAGGGGAAACTTACCCCGAAAAGAGAGCATCAGAGAAATAACGGTGAAACGCCTGCGCGGCTCTCACAAATAGCACGTGCAATTATTCACATGCGTTCCTATCTTTTTTTGCCGGCCGCTCTCTTTTTCTCTCTCTCCAAATATTTATAGTAAGTATATATGGAATATACATATAACCCTGCTTGACCCGACCTTCTGTAGCTACCCATCATGAAGGTTAAAGAGCTTTTAGAGGCGCTTCCAGCACATTCGTAGGACATATCTACAGTATGCTTCCATTGGCAGATAATCTGTAATGCAATATAATAGGATGAGATTTTATGAGATTTGAAGTCCTGTAATAAAGCTAATTCACAAATATTTGTATTATAAAAAATGGTGTATATATTGTAGATCTAAAATCAATCTGGGGCATCCACTCTTAAACCACCAAAAACATAATTATAACTTTAACTTTAATTTTCTTGCATTTGACATTTAATTGTACCCTATTTATCGCTAATTGCATTGAAGACCGTTATTAAAAGTTCAACTAGACCATGGCTGCAATTTGCATTTGGAATCAGAGATTATTAGACTAATCAAAGGGCTACTTATGTAAATTGTAGCACACTTATTGGCGTAAACCCATTGACGCGCCTCAATGACCAATTTTCAGCAAAATTAGAGCAATTATCTGGTTTGATTCTCTAAAAATCTGGGTTTGTGTCGATTTTTTGTCCTTTGATGTAACCCCTTTTCAAATTCTCTTAAAATCTGTATTCAAATATTGGAACTTTTGGGTCGATTTTTTTTAACATTTCAATTTTTCGAAAAATGGGCTTTCAGAAAAGCGACCAAAATAACCTGCACTTCTAAACCCACTTTTCTTACAGGCATTTAAATTAATCGAAAATTCTAGCTATCTAGATATATTATATAGAATATTTAATTTTTGTAACATCTACAAGGGTATATAAACTTTGGCTCGCCGAAGCGTTCTTCTTTCTTGTCTAATGTAAGGTTAGCCCAGTTATCGAAGGTCGTATCAGGAATTATCAAGCCTCGGGTTCAATTTATTTTGAAACACTTCACGCGTTCTTCCTCTTTGCTTTTCCAATTTCATGTAATGCCCTTGTCGATATTTTCATATCATATCAGCAACGATCGTTCAAGGTCCGTGGTTATATTCGATTTGTATTCGGCAGTCAATCAGCGGTGACATTTATGATCAATGGGAAAGCGGGTGGGGTATATTGATAGGAAAACCATTTCGTCTGGTGTCTTGTGATGATAAAACTTTACAGATGCCAAATGAAATATTCCCATGATCAGCGAAATCATGTCTTGCTTGCTACTTCCAGGTTCTATGATACTACGTGTCAACCATATAGGGCGTATCTTATCCAAACTCCCCAACCTGCGTCATAATGCGATAATTATTGTTATTTTTATGTTACGTATCTCCAACTGACGCACAACTAAATGATTTTTAAATGACCTAAACACACAAATATTTAAGCTTTTATTTAGAGCACTGCGGTTTTCAAAATATGTTTACATTTATTATGCTTATGTATTACAATCTTTGAAAGTAATTCCCTTATGCAGTGAAATCTTCAGAGCCCCATTCCCCAGTAAGCTAAGCCATTCGGCAATCGCCAATGATTTCATCTATCGAATTGGATCTCAGTATTTCCCCGTTTCGGGGCACCTCAGGTGTTATGGCCCCCCAGTAAAAGCACCATATCGCCTCTTCACGCGGCCCAAAACGATCGAGTTGTGGCATATAGTATATAGTATGATAGTGGCTATAAAGCGGAATAGGTGTTGGGTCATAAGAAAATGGAACCACGGGCTGTTAATCTAATCGGCGGACGATTCTCTGGTTTTTTTGCCTTATCAACGTCATGGCGACTGGCTAACGGTAATGATAATGGTAACGATCCATTCCGTTCCATTCCCTTGATAAGATTGCCATTGCGATTACGTAATATAGGTTTGCTTTTTTTTGGGTGAATAAGAGGAAATGAAATTAATAAAGTAATGATGATAAATATAATTTTGATAGCATGGTCAAGCTGGGGATTTTAGGGGGAATTTCGAAAGTGCTTAGCCCTGAAAATATAGGTTCCATGTGATATCGATTTCGAATTTCTGCGTGAATAAGTACCAATTATTCAGTGATCGAATGTACTCGTAGTTTTATCTGTATTACACTTGATTCGTTGATATAGCCAAATAAGGGCAAAAAACAAAAGCGAACGTAAATGGGGAAAATGGAAACGCAAAACGAAAATCAAATTGCAAATGGAAACGAGTGAAGGTCTCGGACTTAAATCTAGTATTTAAATCTGGGGCAAGGTCAATGAGAGTCTTTTTAGTGATATTCCTACAACTTTCGTTTGTTGATTTTATAACTAATTTAAATAATATTAAAGTCTATACTAAAAAATGTTTAAGTTTTCAAAACCGTTGCTGCAGCGCCATCTGGTGGAATTTATTACATATTATCCATATCCATTGATCTGGCAGCTCTGATATTATTGAATAGTGAATAAAGCACCATCTAGCGGGAGTGATACAACCACCACCCTTTATTTCATGATCCGGCAGCACTAACAAATATTCGATTAATCGAAATTCAAACATTAATATAATATCGATTTACTGATATTTGAATAAATAAAAAAAAGTAAATATGTCAATACGTTATGAACAATGAAAAAGTTTTTCAACTAAAATACTTGCCCTTCAATACAAAAACTTTCAATTTAAATATTTTTTTTTCTTTATTTTGATTATCGGTAAACTAGATAAATTTATATCTTATGCACGCCAGTTGCCTTTCACTTTTGCACGATCCCTACTGATCAATAGAACCATTAAACTAAACGCAATTAGGGTTACAATCGTAAGAGTTACAGGTGTCTAAAATAAGGGATTAGTTCAAGGGATAGGGTTCACATGTATATAATCTATATATATTTATTGTAAGTATTCATGTAGAGGGTTAAAAATATGATTGGTCGATAGCCGATCTGCAGCTGATCAGAATTAAATGAGGAGCACACACAAAAGAGTCCGCTTTGGTAAGCCCCACAAAAGGGTTTTATCTATAACTTGAATATTCTTGTTATCACAGACGCCCCAGCACAGTCCTTTTTCTTCGTTTAGTCGCCGCAAATGAAATCCCTTTTGTTTTCCAGGTGGGATATAATGGCTTTCCTTCGGTTTTTTTTTTGAGTTCTTCTTGGTGGTTACGGGTGTGCGTCAAAATTTCTACGCAAGTGTCACATGAAAAATCATCAGCGAAATTGGGAGAAACGTTGAATGTGCTCGCTTCCTTTTCCAGGGAGATGCTGTCCGCCACTCCAGTTGCCTCAACATCAGATCTCCTCCATCGTCCCTTTGCTCACAGGTGTATCTGAGTGTTGTATGCTAATATTGTGTATTGCCTAAGACGCGTATCATCTCCTTCCTCCTTAGGGTTTGGCAGTCTGAGCCTGTCCAGCGGTCACCCCACTCCCGCTTGGCGTAGCCTCCTCGTTCGCCTGGGATCCCTCGGACATTGTCTTATTGAGGATCTGGTGGAAGTGCTCCCCGAACACGGCATGGTTGTAGGACACAAGGCGCCGAAATGAGGCGATAAATGCAACCAGCTCCTCCTGGAAATCCACGAATCCTGCAGGCGGCGGCGGAATGCTGCCATTGGAGCGCAGGGTCACGCGGACATAGCCATCCAACCGCTTGGCTGCGAGGAAATGAACAAAGTGTTATTGTTAGGAATAGAAAATGTTTTAATCTATACACTTAGATAAGAGAGCTTCCATAGCAATAATCACTATGGCAGTTACTTGGCAAGAGGGAAGTATCAACGCTAATAATTTACAACTTTAAAAAATTAAAAAAAACCTATAAGGTAGCATGTTTTAATAATCTAATAAATTTACTCACCCATCAAACTGGGCACTGGAGAAGCCTTGTTGGCCAGCTTGAGCACCTGGTTCTTGAGCGCCGCCTGGTCGGCATCACTCATCGCCGGCATGTTCTCCTGCTCCAGGGCCTTGTTAACAAAAGAGCGGATTTGCTCGTAGCAGCTTTCAATGGCAGTGGCTACTTGGCTGTAAGTAAAAGTGAAATGAAATGATGCCAGTGCATGGATAGAGGCTATGAAAACTCACTCCTGGTTCTTGACATCCTGCACAATGATGTCCAGCTGCTGGGACAGCTTGATGCGATTCTCGCGTCGTTGGGAAATGATGGGCGTGCTCTGGGCAATGGAGATGAGCGAGGCGCACAAAATCAAACGTTGGGCACGCCAACTCAGGCCGGCAAATCGCTCCTTGTCGATGCGCAACAGTTCCGGAAACTCCTTGTCCGCCGGATAGTCAATCAGCTGCATATAGGCATTGTAAATGGTCTCATCCATGTTGGTGCCGGAACGATGACGCTGCAGCCAGTCCTCAGTGGCCGGAAAACCAGCTGGAAATAAGTAAAATAAAAGTTATTACAATTTATAACTTCTCTTCAGTTGGTTGAAAACGATTAATCAGTTCAAAGTGTTATTTAAGGTGTTTGCTTAATATTTTGGTATCTACCGCTTCATCGTTTACAACCAATTTTTGAGTTTCACAATTAGACCCACCATTTCCATGGAACTCGCGGAGGTACTTGCTAAACTTCTCCTTCTCGTACTGCACGGAATTGGCGGCGATTTCGGTGCGCGCCAGAGCCAGCATAAAGTTGGCCATATCCAGCTTCATCAGAGTCATCAGCTCAAGGATGCTGCGGAACGTGTCCACCACGTCGTCGATCTCCCGCAGAGCAGCCACCGCATCGTCCCTGGCCGGCGAACAGGATCGCGACAGGATGTTGATCACAAAGTTGGCATACGACCGAAAGTCAAGGGTTCCACGCTCCGCCTGCTGACGGATTACGGCATCATCCAGCACCTCGTTGATGTGGGACAAAGCACGTTCATTGTTGGGCGACAGCAGCTGGGGGAACATCTCCTTGATCTCGGCCAGCAGTCGGATGGCCTGGTCGTATGAAGGCGGCTGGCGTTCCAATTGTTGGCGCAGCAGATCCCAGAAAGCCTTGTGCACCATTTTCTTGATGGATCCTTCCAAGCTGTTGGTTTAAAAAGGGGGATCAGTTAGGGTTTATTACTTTGTAAATATAAATAATCTTACCTATCCGAAGGCGGTTCGTACTTCTGCAGCTTGAACTCCGGATTGAGGGCTATCTCGTGGGCCAGCTCCATGTTCCGCAGGTTCTTGAACATGCTGGACACCTCGTCCAGGGTGACGATCTTCGGCGGGGTGCCATCCAAGCTGGGCAGCACAAAGCGCGTCATGCTGTCCACGGAACTCTCGCTATCCGTCCGGATTCGCCGCTCCTCCAGTTCATCCTGGCCGCCGGATTGTCCGCTCCTCTTTTCCTGGGCATCCATGTTCGTTGCTAACTTTTTGCTGTCTGCTTTTCTAGCGGAAATGCGACGTTAGGCAGCTGTAGCAACTGGTTTTGACCAAAAGCGACTTTGTTGGTTACCACTGGTTAAAGCCAGTTATATATGGATATATGGCTTTATGGCAATTGCAGTTGCGCTTTCTTTGTTCTTTGTTTGAGGTCGTTGATGAAGCTCCGCTCGGGGTCAATTCGCCTGAAAAGTGTTCAAAGGGGGTTTCAAATACAGTGGATGCCGGATACAAATCAATTTTTAATGGAACTTAATCTCTCTTTTTTTTTCCGAGACAAATATTTCAATATCATAATTAAAATTTTATTTTTAGATCTATATTTGGTTTCGATTAAGCAATAACTATGTATTTGAACAAAGGAAACATTTATAATAGAGAATACAAACATTTCTGAATCAGAAACTGCAAATTTAGATTTTAAAGTCATAATTAAAAGACTCCTTTAGATAATACTTGCTGTTAATTAGGCAAAAACTCATATATTTACCAAATATGAAGTATTAGTATTAGCTTTTCAAGGGAAAAATTTGAAAAATATCTTTATAAATAATGACATTGGAGAAAAATTGTGCTTTGGTACAAAATATGAGTAATAGTAATAGTTTAGTAAATTATTATTTTCAGCTTTGAAATTGGTAACATAATATAATATAAAATATACCACAATTTTTTAAGTAAATGATTGATACAATACAACTAACGAATTCTTTTTTTAATACTGAAGATAAAGCATGACATAAATTATTTTAAATATGAAATTCATTAACTTTTAAATTGAATCCGTTTTCCGTTTTGTTTTAATTAATGTAATAAAATTTGTTCATAGTTTGTTGGCATTTTATTAATTTAAACTAGAAAACTTTTCAACACTAAATATGTAATCAAAACTTATTTTGCTCTATACATAGTTCCTCTAAAAGCCTTTTTGACATTGAATTTGGGTATTCATATTTCCTAATCAAAAATTATTGTTTGAAATACAAATTTCGCAATATTGTTAGGCAATATTCACTGTACACAGACAACAGCACACGAGGGAAAACCGTTAAACGTGACTCGCACACACACTCAAACAAAGGACAAAGAAACAAAGAAAAAACGCAAAAGACTTGAATAAACATTGAAATTTTAAACTTTTGAATATTCTAGAAGATTCTAGAATATGCAATTTGGCGAGCAGCGTGGCACAGATTCCAAAATTAAATGTGGAAAATGAGAGCAAATTGCACAACGAATGGGCGACATAAACAAACGGCGCAATAAAGCAGCAACAAAAACAGAAAACATATCAAATACGCGCGTGTGTGTGTATGCGTGTATATTGCGCAGCACAACTCAGCTGGGAAAAATGGAAAATTGGGAAATGGACACAAGGACGCTGTAAAGTGGGTGGAAAAAAATGGACCCATTTCCATTACTTACTTAAAAAAGATCCAAAACCAACGAGAAGGTTCCAGAATATCAATGAATTTTTTGTCCCACAGCTGATTCACCTTTCACAATCACTCACAAATTTTGCAATTAATTTCCACTTGACTTTTCCCTCTTTAATTTAAACCCCCAGGATAATTATTTTTATACCCGAGCTGCTGCAGATTTTATCAACTGTCACGAGCGACGACCAATTTCCGAATGTTTTTCCGTTTCGATTTTTAAAAAACCTTGTTTGTTGTGTTTGCTTTGTTTTTTCCATTCCCCTTCCTCTTTTCCAACACAGCTGTTCGCCTATCGGAATTCAATATCGATTGCCTCCACAGTGTAAAATAATGGTTTGGTGTAACAAAACTTTATATTTACAATAAAATTACTTGGTTAAAAATAGTTCCTCATTTTAATCACCGGAATTTTTGAAAATCTAAAATTCAAATTGGTCAAAATATTGATTGGTATTCAAATAATATTAGAGATGTAAGCTAAAAACATTGAATGGAGAAAGTTTTGGGACATGGTTTAGGCAATAAAAAGTTTGCTTTTCCATTCAGTGGTTCAATGTTCGTAGCCTTAACTGTCATTTTAAAACTACACTATTGCAGCGCGTAAAACTCGATTATACTCGTGCCTCAGCGATACCGATAATTACACAGCGGGCCAGTGTTGCGTAATGGCCCCTCGCAGTGTTGCGAGGTGTTAAGAATCGAAATACTTTACAACACAAGATCAGACACAAAAATTTTTTCGGGCAAAATTTACCAGTTTTTTCATTTTGGAATCGTTGCTCTGTTTGTGGTTGTAGCGGGATCAGGAGTTCCCGCACTTAGGGCCTCCATGCTGTAGGTTTTTGGCACCGGAAAACCACTGGAAATCCATGGAGAGCGAAAAGATTCTGATGGCCGCCGGAGTTACGGTGGCCGCCGTTGTGGGAGCCTTTGTATTTTGGGGTCCCTCGGGTGAGTAGACCTACAAAGTTCCCCTAAATGGAACCCCCTGAAACGTCCACATTTCTAGGTTCCCGGCTGCGCCAACGTCGTGGTCAAATCGCCGGTCTCCACAACTTTGGAAGGACTTGCTTTTTGAACACCCTGCTCCAGGCGATGGCCGCCTGTCCCCAGTTCATTGCCTGGCTGCAATTGTACAATAATGCCTCGCCAGACCGAAAGAGTTTGATTACCTCCATGCTGAACACCCTGGAAGTGGTCAATGGCACCCATGCCACCTTGCGAGGGGATCCCCATTCCCCGGGAGCTGTGCTGCGAGCCTTAAATGCCCTGGGTTGGGTCATACCGCAGGAGGAGCACGATGCCCACGAGCTGTTCCATGTGCTATTGTCCTCCCTCGAGGAGGAGGCCATACGCCCACAGCCTTTGGGCTGCCTATCGGATGCTCTGCCGACGGATAACGATGAAACCAGTAGCTTTGCCGGCACAGCCACTCCAATTGGAGGCTTCCGGCCGATTAACTCCATGGCAGCAGGCCTGGGAGCCAGCCAAAGGATCGGAGATCAACCAAATAGACCTTCGAGTGCCATGCTCACCGATTTCCTCAACATGGAGTACGACGAGAGCACCAGTTTGCAGCGATTGGTACGTTCGGAGGCGCACACGCCGGATTCACCGGCCTCCGTTTGCGAACGCGAGGGCAACGATCGTTTGGGATCCCTGCTCCTGGATGCTGTTTCACCAGGGACACCTTTTGGCTTTCCGCTAGCCAGTGAGTTGGAATCGTTGGCCACACCCACGTTGGGCGGCGAGCGTTTGTCGCGTGCGCGACTTCCACAATCCCAGGAGGAGAACCTCAGTCGCCGGGTGTCCAGTTCTTGTCGATCACTGGAGCGTCTGCATCGCGGACCCGGACGGGTGTCCATCTGGTCCAACATGATGCCCAGCCAGGTGGCGCATCCGTTTCAGGGCGCCATGGGTGCACAGATCGTGTGCAATGGCTGCGGCTCCAAGTCGGCGGTGCGGTATGATAAGTTCGATAGCATCACCTTGAATCTGCCGCCTCAGCGCAGGACTGGCTTGAGTTTGGGCCATTTGCTCAGCGATTATATCACATCGGAGGATCTGAGCGATGTCAAGTGCGATTCCTGCAATGAGACGACCACGCACACCAAATCGGTTACGTTTGCCAAACTGCCGGCCTGCCTATGCATCCATGTGGCGAGGACGGTGTGGCTGCCAACTGGGCAGATCTGCAAGCGACAGGACTACGTACACTTCCCCGAGAGCCTCTCCATGGCGCCATATAGCTTTGTCCAGCCGCATCTCAACAGCCAGGTAAGATCTCGCTCCACATTCATGTATATTTATTGGTCAAATCAAACGATATGGCTGATATGGGATCAGTTTTTAAAAATTTTTAAAATCCTTCATGCTAATGTACTAATTAATTTGGTCTTTTACTGTTAATCAAAATATTGGAATGGAAATTTATGATATATTGGAGATTAAATGATAGAGTGGATATTGTTAAGGTTTTAATATATAAAGCTATTCCAAATTTTCAAAAAATGGTTTTGCAGAAAAGTGACCAAAAGCCTGCACTTCTAAGCCTATAACTTTTTTTACAGACGTCCGATTCCCAAAAGGCTAACTTCCAAATGATCGTGGTTTAATTATCCAAAAAACTGTGTTTTCAGTTTAGTTTTTATTTTTGGGTCGATTTTTCGTCATTTCTATAAGGTGTTACCTTTTCCAAATTCTCGAAAAATGGCTTTGCAGAAAAGTGACCAAAATCTGCACTTCTAAGCCCATAACTTTTCGTTCAGACATCCGATTTTAAAGTGGCATATCTCTAAATGATTGTGGTTTAATTATCTAAAAAACTGCGTTCTCAGTTTATTTTTTAATTTTTGATCGATTTTTCGTCACTTCTATAAGGGGTTACCTCTTCCAAATTCTCGAAAAATGGCTTTGCAGAAAAGTGACCAAAAACTGCACTTCTAAGCCCATAACTTTTCGTACAGACATCCGATTTTAAAGTGGCATATCTCTAAATGATTGTGGTTTAATTCTCTAAAACACTGTATTTTCAGTTTTTTTTTTATTTTTTGGTCGATTTTTCGTCATTTGCAATGATAAAACCCCTTTTAAAATTTCCGAAAAATGGGTTTGCAGAGCCCATAACCTTTTTTTTACGGAAATTCGATCTGTTTGTAAGCATCGTAATGAAAACATAGAATACTTTATTATTGTAACAGGGTATATACAGATATGTATACATATATATATTTGGATTGGCCTATTGTTTTTTCTCTTTCTCTTTTGTGTAAATAACCCCTTTCAAAAAATTGAAAGGTTTTGGACTTAATTATCAATTATATAAGGAAGTTTACTAATGCATATAATACATTTCTAAAAAGGTTATTAAGTATTGCATAATTTTCATTTGATTTAGTTTTTGTTTTATTCCAAATTTTAAATTTTATGTGGCATAAATGAATATTATTATTATTATTATTTATAAATTAGAAATTCATTGTAAAATCTTTGATCCATTTGTAGTAAAATAAGCTGTGTGTCATATATTCTGGTAATTTGACTGCGGTCTGAGGTTTTATAATCTGCATAAAATATTTAATTTATTAACCGTTTAAAATAACCGTTCAAGCTAGTTTTATTATTAAGCCCATGATAAATTGTGTAATGTTTGCAGGCTGGCACTCCCTGGGGCTCGACGATGTCTCTATATTCCACCAGCCTGCCGATGAACAATGGCGTGGGTGGCGGCGAGGGCTTCGGCACGATGTTCCCCAAGAATCTGTACCGCCTGCTGGCCGTGGTGGTTCATTCGGGCGAGGCGAACAGCGGTCACTTTGTGACCTATAGGCGTGGTTCGCTGCGGAATGCACATCGGTAAGTTACTGCATAACTTTCCATATAATCCATATATAAACACGAATTTGTGCAACCCCCAGATGGTTCTACACATCCGATACGATTGTGCGGGAGGTGAGCATCGACGAGGTGTTGAGCGTCCCCGCCTATCTGCTATTCTACGATCGCGGCCAGCAAAGACAGCTAAACCTGCGTTAGTCTGTGTCGAGCCTGTGCAGGATCATCGGGATCATCCTAGTCAACACTTAATGTGATGCTAATCCAAATCCTTATTGTCGAAACGGTGGCCATAGCGAACACGCGTCACATTTATATAGATATATATAACTTATATATGTACGGAACCCACGATCTGATCTATACTCGGCGGGGTTATGTAATGGTCTCTGCATATTTGCATACTGCATATTGCATTACCCTCACGTCACAGAGAACTCGACTCTTCATTTGTTATATCGATGCATTTAAGATTTTTTAAGAATTCCAAATTCATACCGTGCTTTTAGCTGTCTGTATTTAGCAATATACATACATATACTACCAATAATTGTTTGCGCGTTATTTCCGTAGGATAGATGTTCAATAAAAATTGGAAAAATACTTATTTATTTTTGGTTGAAGGGCTTGTGTTTGTGTTTAATCGAAACTTTAAGTATGAATAATTAAACCAAGAGATAATAAAAAAATAATACTTTTTAAAGGCAAATGGGTTTTTTATTTACAAACTAAATTATTATTTTAAATAATAAAAATGTGCGATAATAAAGAAATACCTTTTGGTATAACTTTAGTAAATATTTAACCTTACAGTTTAAAAAAAATAATATTACGTCAAGATTTAAAAACATTATTTTCATATGTGTTTAATAATTTATTATATTATTAAATTGTTATTTCTTTGTTGCATTCATACTTCATCGGACAGAAAAGTTAATGTATTTTATGTGTATAATTTAAAAGGTAACCAATAATAATTAGTAAATTGAGAATTAAAAGAAATAAAAATGCAATTAATAATTCATAAAAATTAAGTTGATTTTGTGTGAAAATAAATAACTAAAACAGTGTACATATTTTAAAAGTTTTAGATTTACAAATATGGCACTAGAGATTTTTAATTTGTTTTAAATAAAAAGATGTTCCAGAATTATTTCTCAGCTTAAGATTTATTTAATTAAAGTATAAGAAAATTCTAGAACATGCATTTTAAAAGTGCCAAAGTATCGAAATCACATATCGATAACAGTGCAACTCTAGTTAATGGCGTCAACGAAACATATCGATAGATTCTTTCGCAATCGATTGTAACGCAAGCATTTCATTTCATTTGACAAAAGAGTTAAATAGCACGCAATTGGAGGAATCTAGAGGGCAATTATGTCTGATGCGGAGCTGGAACAGACGCCCAGCGTGGGCCACGTGGAGGAGCAGCACTTGGAAGAGGAGGAACAGCCGGCGGAGGAGCAAGCTGACGCGTACGTAGTAGGCGGTCCACCGAGGACGCCGGTCGAAGATGCGGCGGCCGAATTGAGCGCCAGTCTGGATGTCAGCGGTTCGGACCAGTCGGCAGAGCAGTCGCTGGACCTCAGTGGTGCACAAGCGGAGGAGACAGTGGAGTCGGTGCCACCAACGAAGCGTTTGCAACGCGACATCAGTCCCATTTCCGAGGACAGCACTCCCACGAGCAGCACTTCCAACAGTTCCACCAGCACATCGAGTTCCTCTCGCTACGACGATATCAGCGAGGCGGAGGAGGCGCCTCCAGAACAACAGGAGCAGCAGGTTCAGGATCAGGAGCAGGTGAATATGCCGGAGCAGAATCAGGTTCAGGGTCGCCAGAAAGAGCAGGAAGTGGGGGTGGACCAGGACATAGACACCGAAGATGACCCCTCTTCCAATACTGTGATCTGCGTGGCGGACATCAACACCTATGGCAGTGGTTCCAGTTCCTCGCGATACGACAATATCAGCGAGGCGGATGATACTCCTCCAGAACAGGAACAGCAGGAGCAGGCTCAGAATCAGGAGAAGGAGAAGAATGCAGAGCAGGATCGGGATCTCCAACAAGAGCAGGAATTGGAGGTTGACCAGGACATAGACAACGACGATAAGCCTTCTTCCAATAAGATGATCAACCCGTATGACAGTGGTTCCAACATAAGCGACTACGTCATGGATCCCGATGCGCCAACCAAGGCCATTATCACCGAGGTGGTCACCATTCCTGCTCCTCTTCGTCTGAAGGGAGCACCACAACTGGGACTGCCGCCGCCACCACCGCCGCCGCCTGCTGAGGACGAGGTCCCCGAAACGCCCGCCTCGCCCACCGATGATTGCGAGGAACCACCAAGCGTTAGCCAGTCCATCCATATGCGTGCTCGCTACCTGCGGGAGGGCTCCCATCGGAACATGTCACCTGCAACCACAGTTGGCATGTCCTCCAAGCGCATTTGCTATTCGCGCGTTAGCTATATGGAGGAGGTCACTTACACTGAGCAGCAGAAGCAGGTCAGCCAACCACCCAGCCGCCAGGCGCCCCGCGATCCCCGTCAGCGCTATATGCCACCTCCGGCCGTTTTGCCCAGCCAAACTGTACTAAGCGCCGATGTCGAGGCCATTTCCGAAGACGAAAGCGAGACGAGCAGCAGCGAGGATGATGAAGAGGAGGAGGAGGAGGACGATGATGATGTGATGACCATGGACACGCACGACAGCACCTCCAGGGAGACGGTGATAAGAACGGGCGGCGATCCGCTGATGCAGAAGATCGACATAAACGAGAATCCAGAGAAGATCTACTACATTCGACGTGATGATGGTACCGTGCACGCCGGCCAGGTTCTGCAATCACGAACTACGGAGAATGCGGCCTCTCCGGAAGAGTATTACGTGCACTATGTGGGCCTGAATCGCCGTCTGGATGGCTGGGTGGGCCGTCACCGGATCTCGGACAACGCGGATGATTTGGGCGGTATTACTGTCCTGCCGGCGCCACCTTTGGCCCCCGATCAGCCCAGTACCAGCCGGGAAATGCTGGCCCAACAGGCGGCCGCGGCAGCAGCTGCCTCTTCCGCCGAGCGACAAAAGCGAGCGGGCAACAAGGATTACTATCTGTCCTATTGCGAGAACAATCGCTATGACTACAGCGACCGGAAGATGACACGTTACCAAAAAAGGCGCTACGATGAGATTAACCACGTGCAGAAGAGCCATGCCGAGTTAACCGCCTCACAGGCGGCACTGGAGAAGGAGCACGAGTCTATCACCAAGATTAAGTATATTGACAAGCTGCAGTTTGGCAACTACGAGATCGACACCTGGTACTTTAGTCCCTTCCCTGAGGAATACGGCAAGGCAAGAACCTTGTATGTCTGCGAATACTGCCTGAAGTATATGCGATTCCGCGATAGCTACGCCTATCATCTGTACGAATGCGAACGAAGGCGTCCACCCGGAAGGGAGATATACCGGAAGGGCAACATATCCATCTACGAGGTGAATGGCAAGGAGGAGTCACTATACTGCCAGCTGCTCTGCCTGATGGCCAAGCTCTTTTTGGACCACAAGGTCCTGTACTTCGACATGGATCCGTTCTTCTTTTACATCCTCTGCGAGACTGACAAGGAGGGCAGCCACATTGTGGGATATTTTTCCAAGGAGAAGAAGTCACTAGACAATAACAATGTGGCCTGCATTCTCGTTTTGCCGCCGCATCAGCGCAAGGGATTCGGAAAGCTGCTAATTGCCTTTAGCTATGAGTTGTCACGCAAGGAGGGCGTTATCGGGAGTCCGGAAAAGCCGCTTTCGGATCTCGGAAGGCTGAGTTACCGCAGCTATTGGGCGTACACCCTGTTGGAGCTCATGAAAAACCGCTGCGCGCCGGAACAGGTCGCAATTAAGGAGCTAAGCGATATGAGTGGTATTACCCACGACGACATCATCTACACGCTGCAGTCCATGAAGATGATCAAGTACTGGAAGGGGCAGAATGTCATATGCGTTACTGCCAAAACCATTCACGATCATCTCCAACTGCCGCAGTTCAAGCAGCCCAAGCTGACCATCGACACCGATTACCTCGTATGGAGACCTCATACTGCGGCGGCAGTTCCGGCCAGAGTTCCAGGCAGTTCCGGCTAGCATACGGAACCACCGGACCCCGTCCTGCTATCATCGCAAATTATTGTTATTGATGATGACGATTAAGAAACTTTTTTTTTCATATTTCATAAGGAAGCGTAGGAATAGGCTGTTGTAACACTCCAAAAGTATAAACTATGGGGTCTAATATATATATTTATACTTAAAACTGAATCACTGGAGATTTCATGCTTACATTACATTGTATTTAAATATTTGATATCCAATTCTAGTTGATAGGGAATCTTACGGATAGGTTGTTGTAACCCTTATTGTTTGAAGAAAATGTATAAACTCTGATTTAAGCTTTAGTTTTTTGGAGTAGTGATACTTTAGAGTTGATCTAAAAGTAAGCAATTTGAAATGTATTACTTCTAAAATATTTATTTCAATATCCATGTCCACTGCAAACGAATTGATTTTTAAATGTTTAAAGCCTCCTTAGTCACAATACGCTAATCAATTTAACTCGGAAAAAACCGTCGACCTTAAAAATTTTTCTTTAATGGATATCTAAAAAAAAACCAAGAAACTAATAACATGAAATTTTTAATTTTGTTTGAAGACAAATAGTACATTTCTGTGTCCTGTTTTACGTTTTTCGTTACATTAACGTCGCAAAAAGAAAAGAATACATATTACATACTTAGAGACAGCCAGTCATTTTATTTTATTAATATATCTGTCCAATAAAAACTCAAAAGAGAAACTGAACATTTAACATTGCTTGTTTTTATTGGCTATGGGTTATGAATAATAAACCAATAATTTTATTTTAATAAAATACAATTAATAATAAAATAAAATATAAAAATGAAACAAATGGGCACTAGGAAAACAAAAAGCCTGATAAAGTTTCGTTAAACAAAATTATTTGCTGACATCTTCATTTTACGGAAAAAATGTCAGCATGACATAACGATATTTGTTCAAGATAAGGCAATTCAACATTTTTCATAAGAGTAGAAAAAAGTATTTAATATATATATTTAAAAAGGGAAAAAATATAAATGGTGGAAAAAATACATATTTTAAAAATATTTTCGCTAGGAAGGATAAACAAAAAATTATCCATCAGGAAAATTTTGATTTTCTTACAAATTACTTTCTGTCTTTCTAGATGACTATATTTTTTTTAGTATCTTAATATTTAAATCCTGTTTTAAAAGCTCTAAGAACTATAGCGTGTTTGCTACTCGCTAGCGGGCGTTTTCAATCGATATCGCCATCCAATCCGTAATCGATAGCGCCCGCATCGATAAATCCCAATTCGCCGGGCAGCAATCGGCCAAATTCTGTTGTTGTGATTAGGGATATATACAGGATATAGCTGCGAGGGATCGAAAATGGGCCTGCTGTCCGATCCGTCGATATCGACGCAGAGTAAACTGGTGGACGGACTGGCGCGACATGTTCGCTTGGTGTGCTACGCCCTTTATGTGGCGGGTGTGGCCTGGTTCTTCTGTTTGGCGCTCCCGGAGTTTAACCACGGGACATATCTCTCCGAGAATGCCCTTTCCCCAGGTGGGTTGCATCCTCCACTGTCCAGCGAAGCCCACTAATATCAAGTGTTACTCCTCACAGGCCTAGTTTACCCGGAGATCCGTATCGATGCCAATCGCCTGGCCATTCAGCTGTTGGAGGAGTTGCATCGCGAGCGCAAGGATCACCTGTCCACAACGCCGCACGCCTGGATTGCGGCCAAGATGAACGAGTTCGGGCTGGAGACGCACACCCACAACTACACACTGCGTTATCCTTTTGGCGGCGGAAAGGAGTATCACGGCAAAAACATATACGGAATATTGAGGGCGCCGAGGATTGCCTCCACGGAGGGCATTGTTTTCGCGGCTCCTTATCGTGCCGCCAGCTCCGTGCACACAGACATCTCGGCCAGCGTGCCGCTCCTGCTGGCCTTTGCCGATTTTGCAAGGCGCAAGAACTACTGGGCCAAGGATCTGATATTCCTGGTCACTGAACAGGAGCAGCTCGGCATGCAGGCCTGGCTGGAGGCCTATCACGACGGGGATCGGGATCTAGATGTCAGCAAGGCGTATCTGCGTCCAGGGAATTTGCCCGCTCGCGCCGGCTCGCTGCAAGCTGCCCTAAACATTGAAGTCCAGGATCTGGAGATCGACCATGTGGATGTGCGCATCGAGGGTTTGAATGGCAAGCTTCCCAATCTGGACATGTTCAATTTAGTGCAGAGGATTATGGCCCGCGAGGGAATCGCCTCAGGTTATAAACAGGCGCCGCGCAAGAAGCGGCGCCATAGTCAGTCCCCCTTTGAGCAGAATCTTCGCCAGATGCTGACCATGCTGGCCAGCCAATCGTCGGGCGTGCCTAACGGGAATCACGGTCTCTTCCATCGCTATCGGATTGATGCCCTAACCATAGCCGCTAATCGGAGGGCCACCCATGCCACGCTGAAAGGAAGTCCGGGATCGGCGGCAGTGCCTCTGTTAAAAGCCATCGAAGGGATAGCCAGGAGTCTAAACAATCTGCTGGAGCGCTTCCACCAGAGTTTCTTCTTCTATGTGATCGTGAACAATGATCGGTACATCTCCATCGGAGATTATATGCCCGCTTTGGTGGCTCTGGTGGCATGTGCCTTTGTGAAGGCCTATCTAACGTGGTCCACGTTGCCGGTGACCAATGCTGAACAAGAAACACCGGCGGGCTTGGTCAGGGAGCAGGAGCAGGAGGAGGAACTGGAGCCGGACTCTGAACCGGATAAATTTGAGCTGCCCTATGGCTCGGTGTTGATATATCTCACTGCCACCTTGCTGATTGGTTTCCTGTGCAACGTGCTACCGCTGCAGCAGTACTTCCTGGAGATTCCCATGGGCGCCGCTCCGCTGACCACCTCGGTGCTGAGTTTCCTGTCACTTATTGGTTTCATCCTGCCATTTGTGGTCGTTCTGCCGCCTGGAGGATTGGAGCTACTGCACGTGGCATTCCTGCTGATCTATGGCTGCGCCTTGATCGTCATCGGGTTGCTCAACTTTGCCCTGGGATTCTTTGCGGCCGTGCTGACGGTGCCGTTGGTCATCTCGCTGGAGACCAAGGAGGAGAACTCGCGCAGCACGCTGAGGAACTCGGTCCGCTTGGCCACGCTGGTCATGAACCCCATGATGGTCATCTATGTGATCGTGCTGGCCATGACGTTCTACCAGTTCCCAGAGCTGTCGTTGCAGAAGATCATGCTAAGGGCGGCCACCGCGGCCATGGATGCATCTGCTTACGGGCTCATCGATTCCGTGGTGAGTTTACTCAATTAGTTTTCAACTGTAATTAACATATGCAAATCAAACTTATATTATTATAATTCAAACTTTAAGCAAACTTTGAGCCAGGGAAATAAGAGCCAAAGTTAAATGTTAAACTTTTGTTATACAAGCCAACAATTCCCAGTTTTAAGTGTAGCCTTTTTAAATAACATTTAAATCCGGATGTAGTTTATTGGCATCATAAAACTTAACTGCAGATTGGATACTTAATTTTTACTGAACTTGAATATTTTCGATTTTTAGATCTATGGCAACTGGCTGTACTTTGTCATCTGCACGATCTTCCTGCCCCTGTGGATCATCTGCTGGACCTTGGCGCTGTCCAAGAGACGAGACTACGCCGATTACCTGGACTTCGATGAGTCGCCATCAACGTCGCCGCAGCCGAAGGTGAAAACAAATTGAAGAGGAGGTCCATTCAAATGTTACTCAGTGTTTGATTGAATGTCTACATATATCAACTGGAAATTGTCCTAAGATAAAGTGTGATAAACCCAACAAATGTGTGTAATGACGGTAAGAAATTGAAGGACTTACATTGCACATGCAGATAAAATTCCATTTAAATGTTATGCATTTGATTAATTGTCTAAATAAAAGAAGCCTATTTATTAGTTGGAAATTCGAGTACAACTTTGTAGTAATGTAAACTAAAATTTGTTAATATTTTAAAACCTTTGAAGACGTTAAGAGGGTGATTTGTACTGAAAAGCCTTTATTAAGCAACTTTTTAAAATTTCCTGTGGGATTATTTTAAGATTTACAATTTTGGATTACTTTATTGTTTAAAATGGCTTACTATATTATCAAAATTATTTTGTTTTCTTCTTTTTGTTTGCCATTTTGTTTGCACGTAAAGCTGTAATGCATATTTTTCAGCCAGGAGTTGTTATTATTTCTTTTGTCAGTCCTCCGCCGTTCTTGTTGTTGGCCAGTGGAGGGCAGGAGTTTTTCCGTGGAGAGGTGCTCAGTGGAGCACGTGCCTCTTTTGAATAAGTGGAAAACTTTTCGACTATGACACGCAACTTAATTTAAACTTTGCACCGCTGCCAGCGTCGTCGTCGTCGTCGGTGGCAATTAGTTATGAGCCAGGAATTGGCTCAATCAGGGGCATGGATGCATGGTGTCCTCGGATCTGGAAACTGGGATCTTGGAACTGGTGACTGGGAAGTGGAAACCCGGAGACCTGCACTTTCCGCTCCGTGTTTACCGGCGCCATTCAATCTGCAACTTAACAAGAAAACTTTCCGCACACACATATTCAAAGGCAAACACAAAGTTGCCGAGGAACAGTGGTATTTTTATTCAAAAAGTGTTTCCTATCGTCTCATGTTGATGATTTCATCATGTGTCATCTCAAACCAAATTTTATTGAAAGTTTCAATTAATATTCTGCTTTTTAGTCACTTCAATTTCCAACCGAAAAAGTCTGTTTTGGGTTTGTTTGGTTTAGTTTAATTTGGTTTATTTTAATTTAGCTTAGTATGTTTTAAAAGGACGTTTATGTCTAGCGATTTACGATAAATGTATTCATTAGTTTTACACACTAGCTATCTTTATTGCAATGATTTTCATCCTGGATTTTCTGCTGCCCGTGGTGGCCATCTCCTGCTCCCGATTTGCTTCCTTTACATGCTTCGAGTCCTGGTTCCTGCTCATCCGTTAGCAAGTCGAATTCGACCAGTGTTGGCACGATTATATCCTGATATGCATAGACATCGGTTTGGGTGCCCTTGCCGTTGCCATCGTCCTGAGCCTTTTCGAAGTCCAGTTCCAGCTCCATGAGCCGTTCCTCGTGGCGTTTCAAAGTGCCAATGCATCGTTGCCGGAGCTCCTTGACATGCAGACTCTCGCAGTCGGCTCGAATGGCCTCGGTTAAATATAACATGGATCTCCCACTGAACTCCGACTCCAGGCTGCGGATCATCTCCACATCCCGTTGCAACCGATTCTGGAGGATCACCTGGCGATCGATGGCCTTGGCCTCATAAAGTAGTTTCTCCAGCAGTTCGTCCGTTTTGCCATACTGTATCAAGATGTCCTCGGACCGCTCCAGGGCCAAACAAAGTCCCCGGGCCTGTGGGGATCGAGGAGAGGGTGGTGGTGGTGGCGGTGGAACCGGCAGATGGGCGGTCAAACACTGGACGCCACGTGGTGTCCGGGAGTGCGCCTCCGTCTTGCGGAATCGGGAACCCTTGGGCGTGGCACGTTGGCCTACGGATCCAGGCTTTTGTTTCGGAGAAGGTCTTCCACACCCAGTCTGCACAGACGGAGCACGCTCGGTGTCATCTCCTGACTTATGACCATCCGGTTCTTCCATCTCCAAGCATTCATAACCCTCCACGCTGGTCAAGTTCAGACGACGGGCCAGATCCACAACATTGGCCAAAGCCAGGTCCAAAGTCAACCTATTGTGATCCGCGACTTTCACTGCCTCCTTGTCACAAGGTTCACCATTCGGTTCAGTGCTCATCTTAGCCAAAGTTTTGTGGAAAATTTAGATTAAAAAAAAAAAAGAAATACAGCTTTAAACGATCTATATATGGTTCCAATTTCTCGTTGTGTGTCGTATATATCTGTTCTGTTTTGATTTAAGATTTAGGAGTGAAGTGACCGAACTGTTGAGCAAACGCTTTCTGTGTGTCCCACTTTTAGGAGTAGGTATGGATTCTTACCAGATGGGGAATGGCCTACTGGGAAACTATATCTTGTAACCTTTACTAAATTTGTTGACTGCCTTAAATGTATTAGTAAAAAGGATAGTCTTTGTACTTTTATTATTATTATTTGTAAGTATATTACTAGATTATTGTCTTGTTTATTTTACTAGACATTTTTTGTATTTATTAAGTAACACCTTGTCAAAAGCTGTCCAAAAAACAGATTTCTAACTAATAATATTTAATTATGTTTCATTTTTTAGGATGACTTAAGAGTTTGTTATAAAATATACACTTTTAGCCAGAAACTCTTAATTTATTATGTTTAATGCATTTTAGTTTGTATAGAATTTTAGAGTTGTTTACATTTTTGCAGAAATATAGCTTACGCAATTAAAAGGTCCCTTGTTTTAACCCACGGTTGCCCAACCCTTTCGCATTATCCTGTGGTGTTTACAAGCTGCGAGACTGCAGGATAAAAGATGCAGGGAATACGAAGTTGGGTGCGGGAAAGAGAGGGTTAAAATTGGCAAGTTGATGTCACATAATTGCCCCTCGAGCGCTCATCTTAATTATTGTGCTTGCTGACTTCCTGTTGCCCGACTTAATTCCCCGTTAAAGCCAACACACTCTCTGCGGTCGGTATCGCCCCATCCACCCCCTCTCCCCTCTGTCTGAGTCCCTCAGCCGACCAAGATTACTCCTTGCGGCGTGTGGAAATAATTAAAATTGTTCGAAGAACGAGAGCAGTTGCACTTTCCATGACAGCGAAAGGACGGGGATAAAAAGGTCGACGATTTATAGAGAATAAATTAACGTGTCAGTAAACAGAACTTCCATCACCGGTAGACTTATCCTGGCGACAAAGGATATTAAGTTTAACGGCCGGCTGAATGGATCTACAATAAATATATATATTATAGGAATCGGACGATTCAAGAGGCCGTGTAGCCTAACGGATATGGCGTCGGACTTCGAATCCGGAGGTTGCGGGTTCGAATCCCGTCATGGTCAGAACTTTTTTAGTCTTTTTTTGTGCCAAGTTATTTTTAAGATCTGAAAAAGGAATTGTAATGCCTAGATATATACCTAAAAGAAAAACGAACAGATCTCTGCGATAATAAAATTTAGTGCTGTTAATTTAAATGTAATAAAACAAAATCTTAAACAGTAGAGTACATTTCAAAAAGAATTTATCGCATTGTTCCACTTCATACAGTGACTTAAATAGTATTTTTTGTTCTTATTTTTCCAACTAGCATTCCATTGCCTCGTGTTGTTTCTGTTTTAATGAAAAGTGAAAAGTGGGGAAACAAGTGCGGAATAGAGGAATACCAATCGAGAGCTTTCAATTTGTTCGACCATTGTTCTGCCGTTGTTTGCTTTGGATTCGGCTCTTTTTTTAGCCGTGCTTTACTTTTGAAAAGAATTGAAACTTTGACAGTTATTTGTGTGTTTTGTCCGCCCTGTCGAAACAATGCAAAAGCAGCGGGAATCCCACCCTCCAGGTCACATGCCCCATTCGAAATCCCCCTCCCACCAAAAGGGGAGTCACGTTGCACTCCGTTTTTGGAAATACCAACGATGAAAACAAAAAATTGCGCAGGTGAAATGGAAAACAAATGCATAGAAAGGCGGGCACAAAACAAACATTCAGACGAATATAAGGATACACTTCGGTATTGTATGGGTGCTGTTTAAGAAAAAACCTTCAAGGAATTTATTTGTTTACCGGTTGTATTTAAAATTACCAATTTAATATGCTTCAATTCTAACAATCAACTTAAAGGACATTTCTAAATGCCAAGAATATCTTTAGACGTGCTGATGTATAATTATATTTTCTCTATCTGGAAAATATTTCTATTGAAAACGTTAAGTGGTCCAGCTTTAATTAATAATTAAATATTACAAATTTTGGTTGTTATTTAAAAAAAAAAATCAGAATTTTTTGCAAGTGCAGATGCTGCCAAAACGAAGGACACGAATGGCGCAAAAGTGAGCAAATAACAAAATAATATTGCATGCGAATAAAAATGCCGTCAAAACTGCCAATTTCTCTCAATTTGTAAAGTTTGTTGAATTCGGTATTTGTTTTTCTTTTTCACTGCCCGCTGATATGTTTTGTGTGTGCAGATTTTCGTGGCGTTCAAAAGTTTTCAACTAGTTCGAAGTCCTCTCGGTTGCTTTCAAAATTTAATTTCGGCTTGCTTCCACTTGGAGTTTTTCAATACTTTGACGCTGCTCTTAATCAAAGTTTGCCCAGCGACAATAAAACTCACGATTTTATTTACAAACAATCAGAGCCTACAACAGGCCCCCTCCAAAAAGGAAAAACAAAGCCTTCGTATCTGCAAAGAAAGCAGAGAAAGGCGGAGAAAGCAAAGAAAGGCGGAGGTCGTTGGATGAATGACAAACGAGGCTCGAGTAGGCAAACTAGAAATGAGTGGAGTGCATGAGGGAATTTGCCAAATTGAGCGAGAAAGGCCAGATACTACAGATGGAATATACAGTCATACCTCTATATGTCGAACTACTCCAGGTCAAATATTCTGTCATTTGAAAAAAAACCTACATGTGCTTTTTTTATTTTCCAAAAACTTCATTTACTTTTGAAAAATTAAAACCAAAATATAATATATATATGAAATAATGCGTTATACATGACCATCTAATGACCAAATAACATAAAACCATCTAAACCTGTAGAATTCGCGTTTTATTAACATAAAACTCCAAGGCGTTTAAAGCTATTTTATTTCATTGAGGTTTGTCTGTACTTGCTTGTGTTGCGGGTTGCAGTGGAAGACGGATAGGATAGTACAAAGCAACAGCTACCCGCATGATGTTTTTTCATTGCGTCCAACTCTCGACGTGCTCCCATACACACACACACACACACAGAGAAGGAGAGTGAAAGAGAGGGGGGAACCGGAGTGAAAGAGAGGGCTATAAAACTCGGTGAGTGTCTTTTCTTAGTCCTTAAATTTAGCCGGAATTCAATTCCTTTCCCTTTGTCCCTCGTTGAACAGTTGTTTAGCACATTAGGCCACTAATACAACTAGCTGGTGGAGAAAGAGAAGGAAGATCAGGGCAGAAAGAGAGGGAAGACCAGGGGTGGAAAGAGAGGGGTAGATGCCATAACACATCCCTCTTTTCTTCTCCGAGTTGTCAGCTGTTTTACGGCCAAGTTATGACGTGCCTCCGTCACAGGCTTAAGTACTTACAAAAAAAAATAAGATAAAAATAAAGTAAAATGAAAACAAGGAAGAAAAAACTAATAACACAAAATGGCGGCTGAAATACCCTACAAATATAAATATCCTGTATTAGCTTCTTCTACAGATACATTCCAAGACCCAGATAAGTAGACTATGAAAAAGTTAAGTTTGAGTTTCTTAAGTAAATTAATGACTTTAATCTTTATTTTTTCTGATAAACAAAAAAATATTTATATTATAAACTTTTAAAAGTTGCAAGCGTATTTCCGAAACAAAGAATTCAAATTATGGCCAACTCTTATACAAATAATAGAAGAAAACATTTTGTAAGCTAGCTATATTTTATTTGTATTAAATTTGTCAAATATAGCATCAGTACAAAATTTAAAATATCACTTTTAGCTTAATTTATATAACCTTTCCAAGAGTATAAAAAGTAAAAGACAAGCAAAAAAGTCGAGCATGTTGCTTGGCCAAAAGGTAGGAAAAGCCGGGAAAAGGAAAACTTTTATGCGCTGATGTCGCTGGCGAACACAACTTTTGCCTTTTATGTCCTTGTCGTCTCCTATCAGTGTATGTTTATATACATATATATATATATATATTCGCATATATATAGACTGGTACATGTGTGTGAGTGCTTATGGCGTTTTGTGTGACATTTATTGTCATTTAACTGTGACAAAGTTTGGGGATAAGCATACACGGCGCTATGAGCCATCTGTACAATGTCATCCTCTTGGATGGATTGATGGGCGGAACTCCGAGTAGGCGTGGCAGGTTGTGCCCCGAATTCAGAGCACAGTATCACTGCGACTTTATTGTCTACGTCGGGGAAAACCCATTTCGAAATCCCATCGATATCGAATTGCAGGTAAAATTTATAGTCATATTTAATGATCACATTTTTGATCTCAAATTTACAGTCCTAAAATGTTAAGCGATCCGGTTGAAATAGTCCTGCCAGCGGAAAGTGCAGCCACAGGTGGATGGGAACTGGGCGGTTTTCAGGAAAATCCCATGGACATGGCCAAGGAAAATCCCCGCGGAAAGGGCAGATTGTGCATGATATTTCGCTTGGGAAAGCATCCGAGTTGCGAGTTCGCCAATGGACTTCCTCCTGTGGGTTCTGCCACAATCTTATATGAAAACAGTCGGGAAAGAATGATCTAAATTAAATCTTTAACCGAAGGAGAAGATGGAACTTTAAAGAGGGACAGTTTAGTTACAAGAGGTTTAACATTAGTCGCCAATGAAATGTTTAAAAAATAAATATATAACAACAATTGTAAATATTTATTTTAAGAGATTTTTTACTAAAACATTAATGATATACATTTTACTACAAATTTTATTTTAATAACAGAAATCTTTATCTGCTAGAGTATACATTATTGAAATCGAATTAAATAAATTTAAAATAGGAATTTATTATCGACTTCTAAATGATTATCTAATATATGAAACTTGGAATTTTGATTTTCGCTATATCCCCTTTGATTTATTTTACCTAAATTCCGGCTGACTCAGCTGATGTTTCCGATTTATATAAAGGACTCATTTGACCTGAGAAGTAACATCTCCTCCGCTTGTTTTATTTGCTTTATTGATGAGTCATCAGCAAAGGAACCGGACGGAAACGCACTTGATATGCTGCCCGGGTTATGGCCGGATTTTACGATCCGAGTGGGAAACGTTTTCGATTTACGGCAAAATGGAGAAGTGACAGCAAGCATGTGTTGAAGGGACATAAAGAGGAGATGGGGAAATTGATTGATAATTGATAACGTAACACGACACGACCCAGAAGAGTTGAAGTTGTGGAATCCATGTGTACATACATGTATATGAATGGGGCATGATGTTTAAGTTTTATAAGCTACCCAGTTTTGGAGCTTAAAATACGTTTTTTTTTTTGATATTGTGTTCTAACTTTTCTCTTAGATTAATTAAATAACCAAATATTCCCCAAACTTAGCATATTTAAGCTGCCCAGTTAAATGTTTTGCTTTGCGGTGAGCCAAGGCCAGACGAAAATTGTTCGAATTTCGATATCTCTGCACGCCAGAGAATGTCTGTCTTTTGCTTCCATGTGAATTGATTTTGGGCCGAGTTGAGAACGGAGGCCGTCCTGATTTCGTCCTCGTCCTCCGGCAATTTATGTTGGCAGAGTCCGACGTCCAGATGTTTGGTCGCATATGCAGATTAAGTTGGCAGCAGATCGTGTTGTCCAGGACGAGGAGGAGGACTCCAGGAGCAGGACTCAGAGAACCACAAACAGATGCCAGACAAAGCCGGCAGGAAGGGGCGGAAGTGGGACAAACTAAACTGTTGTTGGCTTGTTAGGCAGATGGTAGACATATCCCCAGCCGGATGTGCGCCAAGGATATGCTTACAAGGCAAACAAATTTACCCATAATGCTGTCAGATGCATATCGGACTCCCCCGGACTTAGAGCCCATCCATTATTTGTATACCCTTACACTCTCACTGTTTTATCCCCGCATTATGTGCCCACTTAGACTGTGGCAGGGTATTATTTTCCCGGGCCGGCTCAGAATGCAACTGGGCCTAGACCCCACTGGCTGCCATTCTTGGTACCCTGAAAAATTTGTTGATTTTACTGCTGCTGCCAAGAGAAGACACCAGCTTCAGATTCAACTGATGTTCCATCGCCGGCTGCAGCTGCACTGCGGCAAAAAAGGAATGATAAGTTTTAATAGAGCTGTCTTTTAATAAACGTATTTTTTATAAAATCTCCATGAAACAGCAAAAAGGTAAACGCTTGCCATTTTAATGATACTGCTTAATTTAACATAATATTTTGAAAATATTTCTAAAAATTCAATTTGTCTTTTGTTTTCAGCAAGTTGAGTCCATCAACAAACTTTAAATGAAGGTCTTATTTGTGTTCTTTCAAAACAAAAAAAATATATAAAAAATTAATATATATCCAAATTCCCTTATAAATATGCTATACATTTTTTAAACAACGAAGTGAATGTATACTCAAAGAGGAAATACTTTGAAAATTCCCCCTAAAAATCTATAAAATTAAAAAACTAAATATTTAACAGAATACAAAAAATATTAAGGAGTTAAGAGTATTTCTTTGAGTGTAGCTCCTCTGCTGCTGCAATTTTTGAAATATTCACAAAGCAAAGAGAAGATGTCCTGGGCGAGAGGGAAATTGGCCGCCCGCTGGGATTCCGTATCCGGTGGCTGTTTTTCGATGTTGTTGCTGTTGGTGCCGGCCAAGTTGTTGTTGTTCTTGTTGTTGCTGGTGATAGTGCCGGCCAGATGGCCACGCCCCATTCTCCAAGTCCTTGGGGGGCCAGGCTTCTTGTGAATCTTTGTCTGTCGTTGGTGCTGCTTTCACGGCTTGCATCCTTTTTTTGGTCCTGGCAGATGAATGATGCTGACTTGAATGCTCCTGCTGCTCCTGCTCCTGCTCCTGCTGCTATTGCTCCGCCGGATGTTCCGGTTGTGGCCACTCCGGGCCATCGAAGGAGCCCAAGGATAATCGGGAGTTGGGGGTGAGCCAGGGACCATCATTTGTGTATTTGCAGACAAATTGGATTTCAACTGCGGCCTGCTCCCTCGCCAGCCGGTTTGCTCAATTAACTTTGTTGCCCAGATCCAAACAGGCCATTTCTCAGACGTGCCATCTTCCTTCTTCACTTGTGACTCCTTGCAGCTGCCGTTTCTTTTGGCCACCGTATCCTTGTATCTTTCTATCCTTGTATCTTTGTATCCTTTAGCTTGTTTCTTGGTCCACACATCGGAGTGCATGCTTGATAAATGGCCAGTGATTATGCCACGCCCCCGCCACAGCCTCGAAAGGGGCGGATTAGTGATGTAAGCCACAAATGCACATCGATTAGCATCGCCAAATGGCTGGGAAAATAAATCGAACCAGGGGAGGCCAAAGATCGATGGTTTTTGGGCCGTAAAGCAATCGCATATCGATTCTGGCTTTTTTTGGTTATCTTTTATCTAGGACTACAGTCTTATTTAATATGTCCTGCTAAAGCTTGTAACTATTTTTCCATCACTTCTATTGTTTAAGCATTTTCTTTACACTATTTTGCTTTTATTATTACTACTATTTAAACATTTGTTTTTGAATCATTTTGTATTTGTAATGATTGACAAATCATTTTTTTAAAGCTTTCCGAAAAAAAATACTTTGTTTTTGACTTAACATACATTAAGCTTCGTTTGATAATTTCCTGTCAAAGTGGCAACTTTGTAACAGGAATTAAGTATATAAAAAATGCAATCTATGCAAAAATCATATTTAAATAATTTATTGCTGGATTTTGTCTATTTACAATAAAGGTTGAGTGCGCGCCCACTGAACCCGTATTGCAAAATGCACAAATTTGCTATACTTATTTATCACGCATTTTGATATGGACATGCTGCCGTGGGCGATAAATGTTTGAATAAACAACCGCAAAAGTTAGGGGAAAACACCTGACTTCCAAACCGAATATTTGATTCCCTGGGTAAGCAAAATTAAAAAAACTAATTGGATATTTAAACAAAACGTTAAATGAATATTGTAAAAAAATATAAAAAAGCATTATCTAGGCAGTATGCTTTAATTTAATTTAAGTGTAAGATTACTTTAATTTATATGTTATTATATGCAATCGAACATAGGATATTACTAAAATTAATTACTCTAATTATTTAATTAGAAAAAAAGGAATGCTTAAAGAAAGATCCGGTAAAACTTGAAAAATGGAAATAAATGTTTAATAAACCTAATAGAAACGTATGGCAATTGAAGGGGTTATAGAAGTAGTTCGGGGGGTTGGAGCATGTCCTTTGGCATAGTGTCGGATGGTAAAGAGATGACAGCAACGCGATAATGATTTCCGTTTTCACACCTCGCTGCGACACAAAGGATGTCAAATGAAAAAGTGCAAGCAGGGAAGCGGGGGCAGGGGCAGGGGCATGGCTAGTGGGGAGGGGTTTTTTTTTCGAGGGGGCTTCAAGGGGAAGTGCCGGCGGCAACAGCAGGAAGTGCAGCATTTGCACATTTCCGGCGCTGCTCACTCAGCCCGTGCATAATCGATTAACTGGCGCGCATAAACATGACCGCAAATGTGCAAATGCAGAAACACAGAGGCGTGGGTTTTTAAGCGGGGGGTTGAAAGGGGTTGGGGTTTGGGGAACTTTGTAGCGGGTGATGTCGACATGCATAAATGCAAATGCCATGGCAATACATATGCAAATTACTTTTCGCACACTCTGCCTCACAAAAATGCACCGCAATCCGGACGGATACGAATCCCGGATACGGATAGCTCTACGGCCATGCCGACGGGGAGGGGCTGTAGTCTGTGGATCTGGTTATAGTCTGCCACTAATTTTGTGTTTTCTCCGCGGGCTGGCAGCCACTAAACTAATTGCCAAGTGAGACTATACCCCATTTCCATCTGCATTTCCCTGGGAAATCCGCGAAAGGATGGCGATACACGGATACGGATACGGATGCGGATCGAACTGCACGGCGAGGAATTAGTGATGGTTGGACGGGCCGGAGATATGCGGAAAGTGCACAAAAGTGTCGGAGAAACACTCCTGAATCAATCACAAGCACTATCATGAATAAATATAGCTTTAATCGTTCGAATAAACATGAAACCGTTGAATAAATCACAGAAAGCTTAGTCTTATCTGAAATTATTATTAGTGAACAAATTTTCTTCAGTTTTTTAATAGGCCAAATAAGTGATTGACAAATAATTTTGATAATACAACTGAATGCTCAGTAATTAAAACACTAGATGAATAAATAATAATAAATAATAAATAAATAAATAAACTAAAACACAGAGCAATAAATAATCAAATTGAATTAATATTGTTGACATTTCTTGGAATTAAATGAAGCAGGCTGCAATAAGGTAAATTAATAATATAAATCACGGGGAAATGTGGGTGAATGTTGAAGGCCACTCGACCCTTTAAAGCTCGGAAAACCTTTGCCCAATTCCCAGCTGTGTAATCGATCTGATTTCGGGGTCGTCACCCAGTATCCAGTATCTAGTATTCAGTTTCCCAGTATTCCCCAGGACAGGACATCCACACTCAGGATGTCTTGTTTGCCTTCGAATTACTTTGGAATTGACAAAAGGGCTCTCTCGGTCGGCAGTTGG